GTCATTTGTTCATATTTTACATAATAATGTCATAATTATTCCTCATAGGGTTCGTACAGGAATCCATAAAGCATTTTAGTTCATATTAAAACTCAAAATAACCACATATTCATTCAAGAGTATGTGTGACACCCTCTACCCCAACATTAATACACAATAAATGCAAACAATAAATTTTTTTTCTTTTTCTTTTTGAGTAAATAAAATCTTTCATAGTTGGCAACATCTTTCATGGATAAAACAATTGTCTCAAATATCATAAGGTAGAAGATTCACATTCGTAACTCATAAATCATAAAAAGTCAACATGTAAGTATCAAAACAAAAGAAATCATATAAAGGAAAATATAGATTAATTCCAGCAAAGGTGGCAGTGCCTCCTAGTTAGGAATTAATTTATAACTTTTAAATCATGTAATAAAAATATTACAAAGATACACACTTTGGCCTTTCATCAAGAACGTTCAAAATTACAATTCTTAACATACACTTTCCTTGGATTATAAACTTTATCTATGTTATCCCTTCACTAGAAATTACAAAAGAAAAGAAACTAAAGTTATTAAAACAATAACATCTTAAACTAAGCTAGTTATGCCCCGATGTCACATCCTATCAGAGCATGCCCAACTGAAGCCTTAAGCCTCATCAACAACATCCTCATGATGATGATCACCTGCAACATAATTTAAACATATACAAGAGCAACAAGGGAGTGAGAAACATTTCACTCGAATTCATATGTAGAAATAAATGTTAGGCAACACACACACAGACATAACAAATACCATACAAATTACACATAACTAATCATAACTCTCAAGTTATAAATATATTAGAATACATATACATTCAATTATCATGCAATAATGCCATAGACTCGACTCATAAATGCATGCATGTGGCGCCATACGAAAGTTTACATTTCTTATCACTGGTATGCTACACAGCAACATACCTGGGCACTTTCATTCATGAATACATCACTGGTGACCCTCAGGCATACCTTGTTAGCTTGTTACATCACTAGTGACCCTAAGGCACAACTTGTTAGCTTGTTACATCATTGGTGACCCTAAGGTACACCTTGTTAGCTTGTTACATCACTAGTGACCCTAAGGTACACCTTGTTAGCTTGTTACATCACTGGTGACCCTAAGGTACACCTAAAATATCTTAGTACATCACTGGTATGCGACATAAGCAACACACCTGGAGTTATATATGCATATGATGCATGTCATACATTCATTATATATATATTTTGATTTTCTTGATACATATTAGTTTTTTATAGTAAATAATATATATTGATGATTAACATTATTATAACTAATTAGTTAATTAAATTATACTTTTGATCCTTTATTTTTTTTTAGGTTTATTTTTGTCCTTTTATTTTATAAAATGCTTATTTTAGTCTTTTATTTCTTAAATTTGTGTTTATTTGATTCTTTTAAAACAATGATTATTTTCAATTTTAAGACACGATTTTGAATCCTTTTTTAACTAATTCAAGACTTGAAATTTATCTCATTAAATTCACTTATATGAAAGTTGTTAAATATAACTGAAATTCAAACAAAAAGTGTTATAAATATGATGAAAATTACATACAAATAAGTCCAAAAAGTAATTAAAAGTTCAACAATCTTATTTTATATTATTTTCTAGTTTCTGGTTAAATATATTTTTCACATGATTTCCACTATGTTTATAGCCATCTTAGATTTGAGTGTTAATTGAATTTGTTCGTTTTCATATAGGTGAATATAACGTTACAAGTTTCACATCTTCGATCAGTCAAAAATTGATTCAAAGTTGTGTTGTAAAATTGAAAATAATTATTATTTTAAAATGATTAAAACGATCTAAATATCAACATTTTGATAGATAAAAGATTAAACTAAATATAATTAAGATAAAAAATCAAAATTATAATTTAACTTAATTAATATTAATTATTTATTTAAATTATATTGTTGTGATTCATTTTTTTCATCTCTTACCTAAAGTAGTGTTTCTTATTAAATGCAATAGTAAATTTTTACTATATTATCCTACACAAATAGTTAAATTTTTTTTATTTTTTTATTATCAATTTATCATGTTATAGATAAAAAGGATTCATTAATTTATCAATATTATTTAATACAAATAGTAACAAGTCGATTCTCTTAATTAAATTATCTAATACTCAAATCTTAACATTAAATATGGAAGAAATTATAATATGAGAATAAGATCTAAGTTATATACACTCACAGTTTTCAACAAATATTAATAACCTCTATCTGCAATAATACTTTACATTCATGAGATGAATATCTAAAAGGAGTATTCATTAAATTTTGATTAATTCTTGATAATACTTTATATTCATATGATGGATGTTAAAAAAAAAAGTTGACAAAAAAAAATTCTAATTATATTTTTTTTCTCCAATTTAGTAGGCTGAAATCTCCGGTCTAAAATCCAAATTTATAGTGGTGAGACTTAAAACAAAATAAATTCCCAACAACCACTCCTAAATGTAAGTTTTTCTTAACAAAAGAAAGTTAAAAGTTAACCCAAGGGTAGGGTTAAGGAGTTACAATCAAGAAAGCAATAAAAATCAAGAAAATTGAAGAATTCCACCAAAGGAGGTTGGTGACCAAATTTGGAATAGCCTTGGTATCAAACTTAGTGACCAATTTGAGGGTAGGTAGGTGGTCTCCAAAAATCCGTCTCTAATCTCTAAAATCCGTCACTAGTTTCTTCCAAAATCCGTCACTAGTTCCTTTCAAAATCTGTCTCTAATCTTTAACCTAAAATAAGAAAAATTTCTTGGCTGCAAAATGAACAAACAAGTGAGCCTTTCCAAAGTGTATCACTCTAGGATAGGGATGACAACGGGGAGGGTCAGGTACGGGTTTCATGATACCCATCCCCGTCCTTGCGAGTTAAACCCATCCCCATCCCCGTCCCCATACCCGTCGGGTATAGATTTTCATCCTCATCCCCGTCCCCGTCGGGTATCGGGTATACCCGTACCCGTACTCGTACCCGTCAATTTTTTATTTTTTATTTTTTGTAAAAAAAATGATATTTTTAAAAAAAATTTATTATATAATTATAATTAGGTTATTTATTTATCTCATATTATAATAAATAATCACACATAAAAAAATATTAAAATTTTTTAGTATAATTAAATTAAAAGTGAGTATTAAATTAAAAATGTGAATGGGGACGAGTACGGGTACGGGTACGGGGCGGGTAAGTCCATACCCGTACCCGATTTAATATATCGGGTTTTACCCATACCCGTACCCATACCCGGTCAAATCGAGTATTCCCTGTCAAA